GGTTAACTAAAATTAAGTACCAGCAGTTAGTCTCACAGCTTTTCAAACAACAGTATTTCTAGCATGAAATGGCAGGCATTCAAAGGCAACCATTCCTCCTCAGAGGTGAATGCAGAAAAAAATATTTTATCTATTTACTTTCAAGTTTGGGGACAGAGGAATTTTGGCCTTTCAACAGTGTTTGTGGGTCTCACACATCATGATAATCAAAATGCCTGTGTACAAGGTATGGTGTAAGAAGAGGAACAGATGTTACTCTACAGCAATACTACATACCTAAGACATGACACAGTGTAATTTTGGGAGTGGTTCAGGAGTTATTGCTGCAGAGAAGTGCCACAGAGATAAGCAGGAAGGAGCAGCAAAAGCTCAGCTACGGCATTGTTTGAAACATTTCACATTCACCTCTTCACATCACTTTTTTCCAATAGGCACAAATTAGGGTTAAGATTAGGGTAGCACTGCAGGTAATGCTGTACCTAGTGAAGGAGCATAGCACAGGAAACATATACAGCATTACCTGAACATCAGTTATCTCATGTGCTTCACTGACACTTCGCTCTGCATAGGTGGGATGCCCAGAATATATGGAAGTACTCGTTTCACTGTGAGCAAGAACCAGTTTAAAAGCCCTGAAGGCACCCAGCTGGCTCAAGTCATAAAATTAATATTAATATGAGAATAAAGAGTATCCACAGGCTTTACAGAAGGCTTAAAGACCTCCTAAGCTTAAGAAACTTGCTATATGAGCTGCCAGAGCAACTTTCAAGAGACCAGGCAATCCGTTAAAATCCATCCAGCCCATGGAAACACAAAACATTTCTACAAACCAAGTTTTATTAAAAATGTCAGCATTTTTCAATAAAAACTTGTCATTTCCTCCTTCAAAAAACAAAACAAAAAACAAAAGAAAACAAAAAAACAAAAACAAAAACAAAAACAAACCCCAAACCAACAAGAAAACCAAACACAAAATTTCCTTTTAAAAACTGAACCAATTTACATCGGTGGTTTAAACTGTCTCTCAGTCCATGGGAAAGAAAGTCATACTCAAAGGCAAGAAAACCTTGGTCTTTAAGGAGAGCAACAGGGCAGGGAGGAATGGAGAAAGCAGCCAGGGACTGGTCAAATGTACACTTTTTCCCTCAGAGAAAGACAGGAGTATGAAGGAAGATGGTGAAATACATTCCTGTAATGTTACTATGCTTTCAACTCAAAACTACTGTTTTGATTCTGTATTGTAAAATTTCAAGGACTGCATGTAAAGCATCTTCATTCTTTGCTCAATTAAGGAAAAATGATCAAGAGTTATAAATTGCAAAGCTAGGGACAGTTCAAAAGGCCTGGTGTAAAGTCCTGAATTGAGAACACAACTATGTTCAAAACATTCAATTTGGGAGCTAGGATTGCCCAAAATGAACAATGTATTATCATACAAAGAAGATCTGTTGTTCCCCCACTCTAATCATTTACTTCTTGACCCATTTATCTTTCTGCCCTTACAAGAGTTTTGTCTTTTTACAGTTGTTTGGAAGTGCTGACCCGGGGAAGCTTTCACTCCTCCTGCCCACCACACTGGCACTTGCAGAACACACTTCACATGAACAGCAAATCCACAGGACTCTGGAAAGCTGCAGCCCTGTTTAAACTTTATATGGCCACTGCAAAGAAACCTTTTCTGCTGTCCCAAAATAGATTCGTCCACTCAGTGTACAAGAGGTCAACCCATACACAGAGTCAAGGAATTTGATTTCTTCACAGTTCTGCACAGAAAAGGGTGATGGGTGGCAAATCCACAAAGACAGCACCACAACTGCCACTGATGCTTTTCCCTATTGATACACTTCAGCAAAAAAAGGCATTAATTTCCTTGGCTACAAGTTACCTAGTTGTCTTATTAAGAAGTATTCTATTTCTATTGCTTAATGACTCTCTCCCTTCTCATGCTAATTAATCTGCTTGCTCAGTCTTTCTCTTCCTTGGAGCCTGTGGGTTTCTTGGGTTGGTAGCCGTGAGTCAGTTGTGATCTGCTCCTGCTGGAATTACCTTGTACCCAGTTGGGGCTGGTTTCAGCACAATTGCTGAGCTGGCTTTACTAGTTTCTTTCTTATCTTGGGGGTTCTGCCAAATGTCCTTGTGGCCTGTAAATTCTGCATTTCTTGTATCCACTATCAGTGGTACAACATTCTTCCTAAGCTTTGTTAACTTCTCTCTAGGCCTGAGGTCATTGAAGCATGTCAAGCCCTAAACCTTAATAAGACAATTCTACCAATAAGTCATTTGTTTATCTAACACTTGGAAATTACTTAGAGCTTGCTCGTTAGCTGATGTTTCAGGGATTAAATCTCCTTTCTTGTTATTAGGCTTGAAAGTACACAAAGATAAAACACTAAAGAATTTTCTTAAGAAAATTTTACGTAGTCCACATTTTTCAGCAGTTCATTCTTCTTCCTGGGCTTTGCTAACTGCCCTGCTAGGTCTTTACATTGAAGCATGTCAGATCCTAAACCTTAACTCTTAATGAGAATGGTGTTGATAACACACTGAGGTTTTTTGCTAAGCCATGTTTAGCCAATGGATTTTTTCCTTATCTCATGTTCTGCTAGGGAGGAGGTTTGCAAAAGAAATTGGGAGGGAACATAGCTGGGACAGGTGATCTGAACTGACCAAAAGGATATTCCATACTAAGGAATCATAGAATCAACCAGGTTGGAAAAGATGTCCGAGATCATCAAGTCCAACCCTTGATCCAACACTGCTGTGGTTACTAGATCATGGCACTAAGTGCCACATCCAGTCTCATCTTAAAAACCACCAGGGATGGAGAATCTGCCACTTCCCTGGGTAGCCCATTCCAATCCCTGATTACCCTCTCTGTAAAGAAATTCTTCCTAATATCTAACCTAAACCTCCTCTGGCACAGCTTAAGATTATGCCTTCTTGTCCCACTGCTAGTTGCCTGGGAGAAGAGATCAACCCCCACCTGGCTACAACCTCTTTTCAGGGAGTTGTAGAGAGTGATAAGGTCTCTCCTGAGCCTCCTCTTCTCCAGGCTAAACAACCCCAGCTCCCTCAGCCTCTCCTCATAAGACTTGTGGTCAAGTCCCTTCACCAGCCTTGTTGCTCTTCTCTGGACCTACTCCAGCACCTCAATATCCTTCCTGAACTGAGGGGCCCAGAACTGGACACAGCACTCAAGGTGTGGCCTCACCAACGCAGAGTACAGGGGAGAATTACTTCCCTGGTCCTGCTGGCCACACTATTCCTGATACAAGCCAGGATGCCATTGGCCTTGTTGGCCACCTGGGCACACTGACTCATGTTCAGCTTCCTGTCAGTCCAAACTCCCAAGTCCCTTTCTGCCTGGCTGCTCTCCAGCCACTCTGTGCCCAGCCTGTAGCACTGCACAGGGTTGTTGTGGCCAAAGTGCAGGACCCGCCACTTGGCCTTGTGAACCTCATCCTGTTGGAATCAGACCATCTCTCCAACTTGTGCAGGTCCCTCTGCGGAGCTCTCCTGCCTTCCAGCAGATCAACACTCCCCCCAACTCGGTGTCATCTGCAAATTTGCTGATGGTGGACTCAATCCCCTCATCTAAGTCATCAGTAAAGATATTAAACAGGACTGGGCCCAACACTGGTTCCTGGGGGACATCACTAGTGACCAGCCCCCAACTGGATGCAGCACCATTCACCACCACTCTCTGGGCCATCAGCCAGTTCTCAATCCAGCACAGAGTGCCCCTGTCCAAGCCGTAGGCTGCAGTTTTTTCAGGAGTATATTCTGGGAGATGGTGTCAAAAGCTTAGCTGAAGTCCAGGTAGACCACATCCACAGCCTTCCCCTCATCCAGCAGGAGGGTCACCTGGAGACCAGGTTGATCAGACAGGACCCGCCCTTCCTAAACCTGTGCTGGCTGGGTCTGATCCTTTGTCCATCCTGTAGGCGTTGTGTGATTGCACTTAGGATGATCTGCTCCATAACCTTGCCAGGGACTGAGGTCAGGCTGATAGGCCTGTAGTTGCTTGGGTCCTTTTTGCAGCCCTTTTTGTGGATCAGTGTGACATTCACCAACTTTCAATCATTTGGGACCTCCCTAGTGAGCCAGAACTGTTGGTAAATGATGGAGAGCGGTTTGGCGAGCTCTTTATCACCCTAGGATGGAGCCCATCTGGTCCCATAGACTTGCAAGGACTCAGCATGTTGCTAACTGTTTCCTCCTGGATTACAGGGGAGCATCATGTCCAGTGTATAAATTGGGGGAAGTTGACTGGAAGGGGCCAATCTGCATTGGGAAGAGGGGTCTGGCATCGGTCAGTGGGTGGTGAACGATTGTATTGTGCATCACTTGTGGGTTTTTTCCCCTTATAATACTTTCATTTACCATTATTACTGCATTTTTACTTCATTTTCAATTGTCCAAACTGTTCTTATCTCAAACTAAAACTTCTATTTTGATTCTCCTCCTCATTCCATCGGGACTGGGGGAGTGGGTGGGGTTGGGAGATGGAGGTTTGAGCGGGCGACTGAGTGGTGCTTAATTTCCACGACACAAGGCGATTCTACCGACAAGTAATTTATCTTTCGAACACCCGGGGACATCAGTACGGATCGACAGCGACAGGTACACATGAGCAGCGCAGCCCTGGCTGGGGCCGTACCGCGTTGTCACCGCAGATGACGGAGGCAGCTCGGCGCTATCAGGACGGCAGCGGGTGTCCCCACGCCCATCCCGGGGCCAGGCGTGTCCCCGCCGCTCCATCACTCCACTCGTTCCACCTCCAATCGCGACCTGTGACGACGCGGCCGCGACACGTCGGGAGGTCGCGTGACGCACGCGGGGGGTGGACGGGGATGACGGAGGCCCTGCACGCGCGCACGACGGGCGGACCGCGCCGCCATTGGTCGCGCGGGGCTCCGACCGAGCTCTGATTGGCTGCCCGTCATCGCGCGGCAGGGCGGGGCGCGGCCGCGGGAGCGCGCGGGGCTGGGAGCGCGTGGCGGGAGCGCGCCCGGCCCGCATTCCCCAGGGCCCTCCGGAAAGGGTCCAGGGCTCCAGTGCCTCACGGTGACTCTCCGCCGGTGCCCCTGACAAGCGGGGAGATGCGCGGCGGTGGTTTCTGCGTCCTTTGCTTGGAGCGCGCGGGCTCGGATGCCCCGTGCTGGTGTCGGCATCCCTGATCCCGCTGCCTTGTTCCTGGCGTGTGTGTAATTGGGCATCTTTGTTGGGAAGCAGATGGATCCGCTGCCGAATCCGTCCCCCCTGGCCACGAGGCTGCGGAACACGCTTGTGCGCTACCACGGCATTGCGGACGGAGAGTGGAGGGTGGCCAAGAAAACCGTGAGTGCTCACCCTGGGCAGCTTTCCTGGTCCGTGATCCCGGGGAAGCTGTTGTGGATCACTCTTACGGCGGAAAGAGCCTATTGTGTGTGAAAATCTTGTCCAGTTCCTGCGGGACTTTTGGTGAGACAGGGGCTGTGAAACCTCCCTTCTAGGATAGAGCATCTCTAGATGGCTTGTTACCGATGTTACCGTAAATCGGTAAGAAACCTCCAGGACTCAGTTTGTGAGCATTAGTGGTCAGGCATGCTTTCATTTTCAGCGCTGGACACACAGGAGGATCGCTCCTCTAATCATATGTGTCCCCTTCTCGGCTCAGCGTGCTAATATTTACTTAAAATTTTACATATTCAGCAAATGTCTTACATGTTCACTCCCTTTCTTATAAAGTTTATACGTATGTTAATCCTGAGAAGTTCTTCGGTCCTTATTTGGTTACTAGGGGGTCTTCCGGTGGTCTCCTGGAGGTCTCTGGTGGTCGTCTGGAGCTTGAACTTTACTTGAACTTGTCTGTTGAGCAGCGTATTTACAGCTGATTATAGAGCGTCTTTGTTCAGCATCTCTTATCCAAAAACTGGCTACTTACGTTTCCACTACTTTAACTAAAGCATTCAGAAACTTGCTTATTCCGCAACTACCTGAACAGAAACTTACATTGTAAAGGCCGATAGAAAATGACTGAACAATGGAGAATTGCTGCTCTCAGGCTGAGTGTGTTTTTATGGTTGCAGACATACTCTTGTCATTCCTTCTACCCATTTTCAGGGAAGTGTCTCACAGAAGGACCCTGTCTGGGTAGGATTATAGGCTTGATTTAAAGCAAAATGTGAAATAGCATTGGTAGTGCTGCAAGAGGCTCCTCGGGTGTACTTCCAACAAACCAGCCACAGCCTGTAGGTGGGATATGCCAGCCTCTTGAACGTTTTTCTCAATAGTGCTTGAACCCATCCATCAGACTTCAGTTTCCAAATGCCTTCCTCTTAAGAAGTGAGGTAATTCTCAATTCTTTTTCTCATATTGCTTCACATTTTTGTTGCCTTCAGAGCCCCTACATTATGCTAAGTTTCCTAAAATGAAAGGGAATGTAGTTCCTGCTTTCTCCAAGCAGTTTGCCATGCTCTTCTTTTGAGCTGCCTGGATTTTTATGAGTCCTGCTTCAACAAGCTAAATAGACTCTGCTGGTGCATCAGTTCTAGGCTACGTGAAGTTGTTAGTCCCATCCTGCATAGAAGGTAGAAATGTATTTGGGTATCTCAGTGTATCAATGTGGTAGACTAATGTGGTAAATTTCTATCTTTGCCCTTTGGTTACCTTGTTTTGAGTGGGACTTACATTTATTTTTTTTTTTCCTTCATGAGCAGACATTGATAGGATAGAGTCAAGTGGTCCAAATATAGCTTGATTATTTGCAAAATTAACAAATTCACTGTCTTGAAAGGGAGGAACAGAGCATCCAAGCCTTTCAGTGTTCCAATACACCTATACCTCCTCTGCTCTACTAAGTATTAAGGCTGTTGTATTCCAGTGTTGTTATGTCATTTACTATTGTATTCCTGTAGGAAGTAACCTGCATCTCAGTGTTTCAAATCATATTACTCCCCAGATTTTACCCCCATAAAATTTCTAGTTTGACTTTCTTTTTCCCTCCTTCTCTGTCTCTTCCTCCCTCTCTTTTTCCTCTCTTTCTTCCCTCCCTTCTTTTCAGTTTGGTACTGTGCCTGTAAAAGACATTCAGAGCTTTACCAATAACCAGGGAGATGTGTTTTGCTCCAGAATATCTTAAATAGTTCTGGATGAAGTACTTAACAGTGCTGTTCTTTAGGACATTTAGTTCTTTGTGCTTATATAATCATGACTCCAAATAAAGCAGTACCATATGGTACTGTCTTTAACACCAAAATTTAGAGATGTTGTACAGAGGCTCCATTTAATAGTTGTACAGAGGCTCCATTTAATCAGAAGATGCTAGTTTCGTTATTTTCCTTGTGTATCTTTAAAATAAATAGACTAGTGCTTGCAAGAGACTTTTAGTGAGGCATTTAGCATAGAAGGGTAACTTAAGCTTCCCCTTCTGCCACTGTCAGCACCTCCTGCACACATCTGTTTGGTCATATGTTGCAGGAACGCAACCAGAAGTTGTGTGGTCTTCCTGTCCAAGTAGCATCCAGATAATGGCTTTCCAGTTACCTTTTAGCTGTAAGGCTTTGCCTGGTAATGTGGTTTCGTCATTCTGTGTGTTTTCATAGCAAACTGGCTTGGCCGACCAAGCCCTATTTCTATGCAGATTTTTAGCATTTTACACTGAGGAAGGCAATTGTCTGACTTTTTTTTTGAAAGAATAGAATATTACAAGAGATATCTGAAACATCTCCCAGGTGCCCCAGTCAATAAGACTTTGGGGTGAACCATAGTTAGTGGTAAAATTGGTTGCTTGAAGGAAAATTGAAGCATTTTCTGGACATCTTATAATTGTATATAAGTGACAATTAACATCATATCTTATATTTTCTTTCAGAAAGATGCAACTGTGTGGCGTAAACCATCAGAAGAATTCAGTGGATACCTGTAAGTTTGCCTGCAGAGCAGATGATTTTTTAAGGTTCCACAGATGCACTTTATAGAATTTAAAAACTAAGATTGTGAATTCTACAGCCCTCAGCTACAGAGATTCTCCAGAGTAGAAGCTAAATGGATTATCTGTTGTACCTAAATTATTTCTTTGCAGTGTTACACTTTGATGTGCTGCATGGTATTTATACAACAGACAGTGAAATCTGTGGAACACATCATAAAACTCCCATTGGCTGAAGTGGGCAACAGCATCTGCCCAGAAACGATGGCCTGCCTGCGATAGAGTAAAATATCAAGTGTTTAGCTGTGGAAAGAGGTGTGACACAAATGCCCTTCCTGTGTGAGTTTCTGTCTCTGGGTTCTCTTGGTGTCTGTAGGTTTAGGCTATGGACTGTTTAGAGAAACAGTTACTAGAAAATGCTACTCTGAAGAAACAAAAAGTCATGTGAAAAGGTAGTGTTTGACTAGTTATCTGCAGTAAATAAGAACATCTTAGTTAACACAAAGTATTTTGAAAATAATGGTCCTGGTGGATTTTTCACCTTCAGGAACTGGAGGCCCAGTAACTCGAGTAAACAAAAATTCTAGAAAGACCTGATAACAAATGGATGTTCTGTAATGTCTGTACCGAATTATTTTATTTGATACTTTTATATGCCACTAAAGCATAATATAGTTTCTCATTAGCTTGCTTTTACTGCTGTTTCTTCTTCTTTATGACAAATATTGTTCCCATTGTATTACTGATCTTATTTTTTCCTTTTTAGTTTTACTTGTCCCTGGTGAATTCCCTTGCCAGCCCAACAGGAGGAGCAGAATAACAAGTTATTAGAGAGATAAACAGGTTAATTTTTATCTAAGGAAGGATTTTGCCATTTAAAAATATTTGCAGAAAAAAAGACAAGGTTTCTCAGAATAACATGTATTGCAGAGAAGAATAGATGCACCCATAGGTCTTCTTCTGTGCTGTTTTTCTGATTCAGTTGTCCACTGTCTGTACCTCCAGGTACACTAACATGTAATTTTACTGCTGCAAATTAATAGGATATAAAAAATTTCTCACTGTTAAATGTAAACATATATTTCTCTAGCTACAAAGCTCAAGGAGTGGTGGAAGATGTTGCTAACAGAATAGTGGATCATATTCGCCCTGGACCTTACAGGCTAGACTGGGACAGCTTAATGACTTCAATGGACATCTTGGAAACATTTGAAGAGGTGAAGACTTGTCTAGATTCTTAAAGGAGATGTGTATAGATGAATATGTGAATTTAACAGTACAGCAGAGGAGTAATTCCTACAAATAGTAACATATTTCATTCTGCATGAGGCACTGTGCATACATGCTGTGTGTGACCTCAGATGAGGCTTTCTGGCAGCACAGTCCCAATCTGAAGCTTGACGTGCATCTTTCCATCAGTGCTAAAAATAGTCAATCACAATTCTCTTGGACCTGGGAACTCTGATAAAATTCACATATGAAGAGCTACAGTATGATATTGTATATGCCAAAGCCTTTTCTTGCAGCTTTCTTCCATTCCACAAACAATAATAATCACACTTATGGAAGCTGCATCCTCTTCCTCTTTCTGAAAGGCTGACCTGTGTAGTATGGCTTCATGCTGAGATACAAAACAGTTCAAACTGAGAGTCAGGACTAAATAAAGGAAGGTAGGTTTGAAGTTGATTACAGAAGAGCTGGTAGCATTTCTTTCGTTACTGCAGACATTCAGTATCACTTCAAACCCCCTCTGGATATCTGGCTTGAACATGGATTGTCTTTTGCTCTGTTTCTTTAGGAAGATTTATATGACAAGGTATTTTTGCTAATTATTCCCTAAAATCTATGCAAATTCTAGTATCTTGTAAGAAAGCCTGTTTTGAGGAATTGTTCACATTCCATTTTATTTTTCACTTGGTAAATTAAAAGTATTTGACTGGAGCATCTTAGTAGCAAGAGAGTCCTCTTTCAATGTGTTCACGGTCCTTTCAGACTTCCTAAGTAATAGTGACATAAGAGCCACATGACTCTCAGTTCCCAGGCATGGCACAGTTCTCTAGTTTTAGACCTTTAAACCCTTATGGTGCCAGACATTTTCTGCTCTTGGCTGTAGACTAAAAGTCCTCACAACTTCCAGCATTTAGATTGAAAATGGCACAGCCATTCAGACTTCACTGAATTTGTTTGCACAGCGTAGTTGACAGAGGCTGTGACCTTTGTGAGAAATGCTAGCTGCCTACAAGCATAAATTTCCCTGTATTCATTATATTTTTGTTTTCTCACTCTCTTTATTCTGTCACTCAACCAGAACTGCTGTGTGATGCGCTATACAACTGCTGGTCAGCTCTGGAACATCATAGCACCAAGGGAGTTTGTTGATTTCTCTTACACCACAAGCTATGGAGATGGGCTTCTAACATGTGGTAAGCCACCTCCTACCTCTGCTTAATTCTTATTTTTCAACAGCTGCTTGGCTTAAGATTTGGTTCAAATGCAGTTTCGTTCTGCAGTAAACATTCCAAAAATGGTGTAAGATTGTCTCCAACAAATAAATTCAAGGTATTTTAACAATTTCAAAGGTATTTTAATGTTTTACATACTTAAAGGAGCGTACACGTTACTGGCTTGCCTGTGTGCCAGGTTTCATTTATGTCAACAGTGGGATAGGAGTGGGAGAGACAAGTTGAGTCCTCCGACTCAGAGCAAACTGGGAGGAGCAGCAACTGGCTTCTAGTAAATGGGAGGAAGGTCTTTTTAATATCTGAATTTTTGCTCATCATGGTCTCCATGCTGTGTTGTGGAGTTTGGATGAAGAGCAACTTTCATTCATGAAAGTACCCAGAAACTTGAAATATGTCTGTCCCTTCTACTACATTCCTGAAGAAGAAGCAGCTTGTATATTTCAAATTTACTGCACCTGTATTTTTTTATTTGTGTTATATTAATTTATCTGTTTGTTTGTTTGTTTATTTTCTTTGATAGGTATAAGCCTCGACTACAAGGAGGTGAGGCCTAACTTTGTGCGTGGATTCAATCACCCTTGCGGCTGGTTCTGCGTCCCCCTCAAGGATTGTCCCAGCCACAGCCTTTTGACAGGCTACATTCAGACTGAACTGCGGGGGATGCTGCCACAATCTGCAGTAGACACTGCCATGTCCAGTACCTTGGCCAATTTCTACTCTGACCTCAAAAAGGCACTCAGATCGTAGACAAACAGTGACTTAAAAGCCTGTGCATTCCTTGCAATCAGTTTATTATTATTTAGTTTTTGAGGTGATCCTTAGCATACATTTCCAATGCAAGATTCTTTCTGCTGCTCAGCACTCTGCAGCTGTGTGAGAAATATCCTGAATCCATAAACCCCCGGCTTCCTCAGTAGAAAACACAAGATGCGTGTGTGCTCTTGAAAAGTGCAGCATGAACTCAGCTCTATCCAACAGTATAGGTGACCAAGTGCTCAGGATTTTGCTGGTGCAGGTTGCTGTATCAGCAGCATCTTATTGAAGATGTAATTTTGTTATATATATAGATAGATATAGATATTAACATTTTCAGTTTGTTTAGTTTGTACAGCTGCATCTGTATTTTTTTAATTTTATTTGATTTGTTGTAAGAATATTATATAGCTAAGTTGTTAAATGATACTATTCATAAGAAAGCTCTTTGCACTTGTTAGCAAAAATAAGTGTTCATTGTTGGCATTGATGTTGTAACTGTAACTTACTGTTGTGTATAATAGTCTGAGTGCGTAGATAAAGAAATGCCCTTACAGCTGATCCAAAGCTCATTTAAGTCATCAGTTGTCTTTCCATAGTTTTTTTGTGGGCTTTTAATCACACAGTTGTCAAAATAACAAACTTCCAGTGGATCTTCAGTGATACCCTGCACTTCTAAAGAATTTTTTACTTAAATTTGCATGCAACTGTTCGTGTGTGTGTGTGTGTGTGTGTGTGTGTGTGTGTGTGTGTGTGTGTGGGTGGGTGGGTTTGGTTTTGGGGCTATGTGTGTGTGTGTGTTTCTTCCTTAACTGAAAAACCTGTTTTTTTCAGAATTTTTTAAGCAACAGAAAGAGCCAGTCATTTTTTTGACGTATGGGCCTTGCTGTAGCCAGCACAGACTGATAGCAGGCTGGTGCTGTGGAGTGTTCTGTGGTATTACCCCTAGATTACTCTTTGCAATAAATGAAATTAACATCTTAAAATGTGAGCAACTGAAGGCCAAAGCTCAAGCTGCAGAATTGCTCAGATGTGCTAAAGGGTGGAGGGCCCTTTCTTAAGGTCCAAATTTTTCAGGATATTCAGCAACCTAGTCATTCTGACAGGTACATAGGAGGGGCATTCAAAAGATTACTCTGTGCTGCTAGGAACCTGAAATCTCTTTAAAACCCAAGATTAGGCTTTTAATGTTGGTATGTGTCGTGCTCAGGTGAGATTTTAATTATCCCTGTGCTTCACCAGTGCTCACAGGAGTGAGTTTAACTGTGTAGTAGTTAGGGAAGGTACCTTGAAGCCCTGATATTTTGGAGCCAGTTGTATGCACATAATCCAAGGACTGGTAATGAACTCTAAGAAAAAAAAAAATTGAGATGAAAATTTTTCCCCTGCAACATTGGCTTTTTTGACACTGGCCACTGTAGCTGAACTCTGAACAGTGAGGACTTTTCTTTCTCATTGCTCAGGCAAAAAGAGGTAGAAAAAACATGATACCAAATACAGTGAGGGCTTTTCCAACGTGCTTCATGTTTTAAAGACCGTTAAAAACAATGCATCAAGCAGCCTTTGGTGTCTTCATAGGCAGAAAATGTTAACTCTCTGTTGGGTTTTGTTTATTCTGTAGTTCCCTTTACACTCCTTGGTGTAAATGAGCTCTAGGCACTGCAGAAAATTTTGAGAGGCCCCTGTTCCAAGCACCCATTTTAGGGGCTCTAACACTTCTAGAATATCTATCCTTATTTAGTATTCAGTGAAATGTCTTTTTATGCTTTCAGTAAAGACAGGCTGGTGAAGCACAGAGCAGCTAAAGAAAGAAGAACTTGAGCTTAAATAAAAGAAAATTGCCAGTGTATTTTAAGTTGATGTTTTTAATAAAAATTTCAGTTCAGCTACAGAATAATACAGAACTAGAAGAAAGATGTCTAATTTCATAGTCTGTTGTATTTCTTTGAAACCAAAATTTAAGTTTGTTTTGTATAGCTACAGGTGGAGAGAAGTGCTAGATCTTGAAGCAAAGGTTTTCTTTAACAAGAGTACATCAGAACTGAAAGCCACAAAATCAGAGCCTTTTCCCACCCTGGCATTCTTTTCTTCCTAAGTTAGTGACAATCTAGGTGGGGCCAAGGCAGTTAAAACAGGAAAGTAGTTTGAAAGGACAAAGTGCACGAACCCATGTTTTGCTTATGCAGAAGAAATGGGAGACAAAGTAAATTCTTTAGTATAGATTTCTGTCTCTTGAGTTTTAGAGCGTTTCAATTAACCTGGAATATAGTTATCCAGAAGCAACTTCTGAATAAGGTGGCCAAGAACAGCAGAGACCTGTTTTTTTTAGGGAAATGACATGTATATAGACACGTCAAAATTATTTTTATATGGCTAATACTTTTTAAAGAAATCTTAACTTTTTTAGGGATTTGAGCAATATGATGCTTTACTCTTTGGCACTTTAACTAGGTGCTTTGTGTGTGTATGGGAGAAGTGACTAAAGATAAGACAATTTTCTTGTTTGACTTCTGTTCCTCCTCTAAAACCTCCAGCATTAAACCTTGCCTGTAGTTGTGCTCCTTATTTTACATATGCAGAAGGTAGAGACTGGGCTAAGTACAATTTGGAGGCAGTCCAAGGAACTCTACCACAGCTTGCTGGGAGGTGGACTACGACTTCGGATAGATACTATCTGCACAGGCCCTAATCACAAATATGATGAATTCATGTATGTGAAATACAGTGTATTTTCAAACAGGAGGCCAGGCCCAAAAGAGTTAACTAAGAAATTTGGGCCTGCTAACAAGCTACTAACATCCAAAACAATCTGTGCTTGTTCTGTTCTACTTACTGGACCAAAACTTAAGAGAATGGTAAAAGAACATGTAATAGGCCTAGAGGTAATAAATTAGAAATGCAGTAGGATAAGGTAGACATTTGAATAGAAGAAACAGGCTGGAAGCCAAGGCTTTTTCCAAGCTTCAGTGAGCGGGTCGAGAACAACAGAAAAGAAGAGAGGTCAAGTCGAGGAAGATGAGAATAGCCCCCAGACCCATGGGAGGAAGATCGGAACTACCCCCAAAATTGAGGGCCAAGAGAAGCACCGCCCTAAGCCCCGCCTGAGCTCCACCTATACTCTGCCTGTTATTAATAGGTATAGATAGATGTTGTAATCACTTGAATATGCATTTAATCATATTTGAAAATTGTATAAAACCTGCTGATTTTGTGTGAAGCCTTGGAGCAAGTTTTTCCAGCAATAGCTGGCTTGCTCTGAGTGCTGTCAATAAATACCTTTGCTGCTCAAAAATCAAAAGTCTCTGGGCAGTTCATTATTCCGGATTTTTCGGATTCAATTTATAAAACACAAAGGGATCATATAATTCCTCCACTAATCATGAGTAACCAGAATGGTTTTGATGGTATGAGCTGTCGATTCAGCTTAGGAGGTTCACTGCTGTAAAAGTAGCCCTAATTCCAGTGAAACCAGGTGAGCTGTGCCTATCTGCAGAACGTCAATGTCAGTCTATTTTAACAGTGTGTTTAACTTACTGTGTTCAGCACATAAGTGATTGTATTTCTATTTTAAATGCAACTGCAGAATAAATTCAAGTACTGGATTCCAACAGACTCGTCATGTAGCTTTTTCAATTCTTGTGAAACCAGATGTACCATTCAGTGACTTTTTAGGGAGTTATATCTGATAATGTAGTTCTGGTGATCTCTAATGATATCAACTTGTCTCCTTAAATTTGAAAGCCATAAAGCCTGTTTTTACTTAGAAACTTGATTTAGGCCAAGGAAGATGCCCAACTCAGACTTCTTCTAGATTGAAATCTCTTGAAAACTGTACAAATAGAATTTTCTCAATGCTTCAATTCTAAAAATATATATACAGAGGGGTTTTTTATGATGACCGCATGATTGCTGTGGAAGAACTTTATTTGGCTTAGTATTACTTACCTTTTAGTATGTTTAAGAAATGGTTTATCATTAACATCAAAATGAAGTTAATCTTAAAAACGTGAGCATGTAGCACCTTGAAGAAGGCATATAGATTAGGTTTTATAAAACATGGAACGTGTATTGACGTGTGTTTAATTAGCACCTACAGAAACAAAGGAAGAAAATCCCTGTATTTTATGTAGAACCTTTTCTTGTTTCTCTTACTAAGTTGGCATAAAAGCAGTAGAGTTCTGTAGCATTCGACTTCAATGGAAAGAGATGAGAAAAGGAACTGTGACCTCTGAGATATGGCAGGCTCTTGTAGGGCTTGTATCATGTCACCTTCTGCAAAGTGGAGTAGGAATAGGTATAGAGACCACTTCAGATCTTTGGAAAATGATTAAAGTCACTAGTTAGAATTACTAAAAAAAAATAGTGATGTTTAGACCCATTTTCTGGTGAAAGATAATATGACAATGGAAGAGATTAAATCTATGCTAAATATTAACCAAAGTCCTGGAGCACAGTTTAAACTTTGGAATACATTCTGCCTTTTCCAGTCCTCATTGAGCTGTGGTGGTGATTTAGTTTTAAAGTACAGGGACTGATTATCATGGGGTTGACTTTCCTCAGGATTGTGTCATTAGTAGGGGGAAATCAGACACAGATCATAACATCACCTGACAGGAGATACCTGTACGTGTTTCACAGCTGACCCACACAATAAGAAATGTCATATCTGGGTTAAGGAGCCTCACATCCCAACAGATTATCCAGAAAAATCTTCTCCAAAGTAATGTTCTTTAACATGTTTCTTTCAGTATGTAAAGTCACTACGATGACCTAATAATCCCTGAAAATGTTTCTGTGATACAGGCGTCATAGGTGGAACTGTTAGAAGACCATTTACTGCCCAAAGTGTTATCAGAAAGTGACCTTGCTCAAGCCTTCTGTGGACCAGTTTGCCTGTGCCGTAGAATGTGTGACAAAAAGCACTTCCTGAGCTCTGTACCTGGGCCTTGCTGACCTGCCTGCCAGCACAGACCCCTCTCTGAGGCAGGTTATGACCCTAGAGAGCAAACTACTATGGTAAGATTCCCTGACTCTCTCAGTGTGTCAGTCTGAGTGCTGCTTGTCATTTGGGCTCAAATCAGGATTACAGCCAGCGTTTTACTAATTCTAGCTCCAAGGTACACTGGGGATGCAGGGCACTGCTCAAGGGGATTTGAGCAGCAGCAAACATGAGTATCCATGTTATTTGGGTGCCATATGCCTCACAATTTGGAGAAAGAAGGAAAGAAATCACAGCATGCCTGTTCTGGAGCAGAAGTATAACAAATAAAAGTATAGAGAATTCACAGTGTGTGTACAAATACTGAATCATTCCCTAAAATCATCGGCACCCTTGGGTATTTCAGACATAAAGCTTCCACAGTATGTACAACGTGTTGAAGGAAATAGGTGTTTGAACTGCTCAGAAGGACGTAACTGCAAAACCCTGGAGCTTTCTAAAGAAGACTGCACTGGGCATCAACAGAAATGCAGAAATTTGTTAGTTATGGAGCAGCATGATTTTGTTAACTGCCCAGCTATCCTAACTTATGAGAAGTTCCTCTGACTTGTTAGTTCTTTCTTACTTCCCATGTTCTTGTTT